TCTGGGCCGGGGGGGGCCCCCGGGCCGCCTGCGAGCCGAAAGCAGCATGTTCTGCCCGCCCTGGTGTGTGTGACCCGAGAACCTTCTTCTTCCTAGGTGCCAGGAGCCTGGAACTCGTCTCCTAGAGTGGAAAGCAGCATGTTCTGCCCGCCCTGGTGTGTGTGACCCGAGAACCTTCTTCTTCCTAGGTGCCAGGAGCCTGGAACTCGTCTCCTAGAGTCCTTCCTCACTTCTGCCTCTTTCCAAGGTTGAGTGAGCAGGAGCTGAGAATCTGGGGAAGCAGGCAGCTTGCAGCCCCCTGCCTGGACATGAGGGGAGGAAAAGCCAGTGTAAATAAATCCACTGAGAAGAAAGGTACTTTTGTCCAGTCCTACAGGCTGTGTCCTGCGTCAGGGCTTCTCTCCACAGGGAGCTGAGTGGGGGTGGAGCTGTCTGTTTTCGTGGGGTTTCAGAGCTTTGCAGCACACAGGATACAAACCAGGCTGTAGTGCAGGGCTACTCAACGTTGGAAGTCCCGGGAGCCACGATGATACTCACAGCACATGCCGCGGCCACAGCTTAAGTGTGGTTGCACATATATGCAGACGTATGTAACTAGCTCCTTTCACACTGATGGGCATGAATACAAAGACTGAGCCGCCGCGCCGGACCCAAGCATGACCAGTGTGAGCCAGTCAGCTCCTCTCCCCAGCCAGCACTTCCCACAATGCCCCGACGCTCCTGGCACCTCCTGCCTGGGGGCTAGGGACGCCGACACATCTGGTCCAGCCAGCCCGTGCGCTTGCGTCTTTCCGTGCTCGCCCCACCTGGGAGATGCCTCACCGTTGTGGAGCGTGTTCCCAGTGGAGGCCACATTCGAAGGATCCCACTCAGGGGCTGCGTATTGAGCCCTGCGTAAACCCGAAAACAAACGGGCCGCGTGTTGAGTAGCCCTGCTGGAGTGGGTGGCAGGAATGAACGAAGTCACATGACTAAGCTGGGCCTGCTGGGGGATAGGAGCTAGTGGTTGGTCAGAGGGAGAGCAGAGAGAACAGCCCTGACATCAGTGCTGTATGCCTGGGAGGGAAGAGGGCAGTGGGGTGGAGGGGCAGAAAGCCCGGTTTTTGTGTTCCCGGGGTGGGCATGCATTGAAGGACAGCCCCCTCCCCCAGGAGAAGGGCAGAAGGCCATTGGGAAGGAAAGGCTCAGCCCCGGGGACTCGCAGGGTGTTGGTTTGAGCTCCAATATGCAGGGAGGGTTGTGGACTTTTTGGGACTTGGCCACGTGACCACATCACCTCAGCAGCCCAGCCACGCTGAAGACAGGGAGGGCACCATTGGAGATTGGGGGGCGGGGGGGGGGGTTCCCGGAGCCTCTGCAGGGCTGACCCATGGTCGTTTTCTGACCACAGGAGAGTCGCCCTCCCCAGGGAAAAGGAAATCCGAGCGAGAGGACGATGACGTTTATGAAGAGTTCCCCAGAAAGAAGCAGAAAGTTCCAGGTAATACAAGTAGCTGGTGGTTCCCAGCCACAGGCCTGTGTGCTCCCTGCTGCCT